TTCCTCAAAGTTATTTTAAAGTTTCAGAATTTTGTTTTGGAAAGCTTCGTTAAATAACAAAAGACTTAAAATATTTAGTTGAATAAGATCACAGATTACTACAAAAAATAAAACCAAAGTGACGAAGGGTTTTAAAGGCAGAGAGCATAATAACTTATCATGAAATAAGTTTTTTAAACCACTTATCTAAGGGACAAAGAAAACCTTTTACAATTTTGCATCAAGAGCAGTTAAGCGAAAAGACCTTTAGTAATCCTGTTTGACTAGTAAACCCAGTCAGTGATGTGTGCTGATAAGAACATTTTCATACATTCAAGTTAGTAAATCGGCGTCCATTTATCAGAGCAAATTACACAAAGCCCAGTTTTAGTTTTAGCTATATTTACCAAATACATATTTATGGTTTGCCAGCCAAAAACTTGGTGTATTAGATTTATACCCTTATCAGATAATGCTAACTAAGGCTTATGCAATATTTGGCATAGGTTTCTTTTTACTAGCCATTTCAGGTCCCAGGTTTCCACGTGGCATTTGGAGCCATGTGGAATCCAGAGAGGCAGAGGGCAGTATTCACTGTCTATGTCTAAAAGATATTGCTTCTCCCAGCATGGCCAGGAGGCAGAGCTGAGATAACAAGGAGACATATTGACCTAGAGATAAATTTAGGTAAAAGGTTCGAGTCAAATTTTGAAAATATATTTATCAAAACTTTAGAAGATTTAAGTTACGTGAACTTGAAAAGTATATTTATTTAATGAGCGTGCATTAATTATAAGCCAATTTGGTACCTCGCACATAAAACAATTACACAGACATGAACATATTGACATAACATACAGCTTACACACGCATATATGCAGACATAAACAACAAGAACAAAGATCTTACAGGTTTTGTTCAAGATGTAAAAAAAAACCTCACTAGTGAAAAGGGCAGTCAGGTTTAGATTGTGTTGTTTCCAAAAAGACTTATTGGTGAGGCTTTACCTTGCCTTACAGAAAGCAAGATAACAAGTTTACATTGCAAAGCAAAGCATGCAAACCTTTTCAAGAAGATGCAGAGAAGACTTTCTTCGTTTAAGAAGATAGCATGGAGTTTTACCATAGAATTTTGTGAAGAAATACATAGATGAGACCAGAAGAGAATTTAGAAGTCTGTGTAAGACAACTAAGTGGATGCCAGAAAATTTAACACCATCTAGTTAAACAGGTAGATTTTAGTCTAGTTTTTGTTTCTCAAATGAGTTACTGAGCTCAAGAGCTGAGCCACCAATCAGAGATGGAACCATGAGGTTTTTAGGAGAAGAGCAGTAGACCCAAAAGGGGTCTGGTTGGCGCCATGGCTGCTTTTCTTCATAAAACTCCAGAGTCTTCAGAGAAAAAGAGTAGCACATGCAGTTAAGAAAAGAACCACTGCTTTTAAGAGAGGAGAGAAGCATTGTGCAGATAGAAAGAAAAACATGCTCAAACATTACCAACACTGTAAAGAAATATTAACTTCTTTTACTTTAGATTGTCCAATTTAAAGTTCTCAGTCACTGGCAAAGATTAAGTTTTATCTTTTTTGGGTGACATAAACATGTCTTAGTTTTTTGTCAAGGTCTTAGGTAGGTCTCAGAGCGACTTGACATGGATTCTTAGTTGTTAGGTGGGAAGCCTTAATGAGACCCATTGCATAAGTAACCAGTGACCAATTTGTTCCCACATTTGTATGTTGAGGCTCCCTTCCTTGAGGTGTCAAGGACATGGTTGTTTAATATCCACTAACAGTTTTACAGGCGGCCATTCAGTTACAGCCTGCTGCTTTAAGGAGACATTGGAGTTGTATGTTCAGTCTCCCCTTTCATTAATGAATAATCCATACTTTAAAAGTAAAGAAAACAAAAAAATATCTCCGGGGTTGAAAAAGCCAAACTTTGACCTGCCGCAGGCGTGCAATCGCTACTCGAAAGCCACCTGTGATTCTCTTACCGAGATGCCTTTCGTCTCCCTTATTAGGGACGCCCTTATTAGGGATGAATTGTTGGACATCCTATTCCTCTCTAATACTTGGCAGGTCAGTCTCCGATCCAATCCGTGGAGAACATCCTCACATGGGGCACCATTTTGCTGCTTTGTGTTGCTTCATCCCCCACGGATTTGTCACCCCACTTCCCCTGGGTGACAGAGACGCAAAGGATTACTCAAAGCCCATCTCTTCTGAGCAGTGAGAGGCCCCGAAGTGGTTAATCTCCTGGAACCCTCAAGGGAGAGGCATTCCTTCCTTGGGAAATTAATGCCAAGTTGGGGTTCTCTTCCTGCATTTATTTTCCAGACCAGGAAGTTACAGGAAGAGACATAGGTGGGATTATAGTTTAACAATATGTGCCCGGTGGCCGTCCGGGCCGTCACGTGTGCAGGTTGAGAGTTCTGGGCCGCATTGGGGGCCGGGAACCCCCAGGTGCCTGTGGGGTGTCCGTGCTCCCCCCTGCCTGGGGTGACGATGCCGGATGTCCACTTCCCCTGGGTGACAAATCCGTGAGGGGCGAAGCAACGCAAAGCAACACTTCTCACCATACTCCATATGTTCTTTAAATTATTTGACAAACTCGAAGGGTTAGTTCAGATGAAAGATTGCATAGAATAAAAACTTTGATTGAGTTTGTTGAAATTTAAAGCCTGTAAGCACCAGAAAAGTACCCTTCTCAATCAACAGTAAGAAATGTATCTCTTTTTATTAATTCAGATGCTTGGATTTAAATGTTAATATTGTCACAGAAAGGCGACATACAGAAAGAGGATAAATTCCTACTGAGCATAACATGGGTCTTATTGATATCATGCTCTGAGATTTTCTTATTGGGTAGTGAAATGCTTTATCACCCTTGTTTTTCTCTTATTCTCAGCCATCTGTATACTTCAGACATCCTGAATACATCCTGAGTACCCCAGGTGTCTCAGGACTATGCAAAAATGTTCTTAAACACTGCTGAAATAACTGTCAGAAAATTCTTTTACTTAGTGAAAAAAGCCATGCTTGTGTTTTGGTATGTTCTTCACTTACAATTTATTGAATCATAAATATTGTATAAATCTAGCAGTCTTATAAATCAGTATTTTTACACCAACTTAGAGCAAAAGTAGCAAATGCCAAGAGGTGGAATTGGTAGCCTTTGTGACCACCTGTGAATAAGAAAGGAAACAGAACATGTCCAGAATGACACACAGCCTGATGTCATTCACTGATATTTATGGTGGTGGCTCTGTATCATCAAGGATACGTTGCATTATTTCTGTGCCTGCTACCTAAGAAAGCATGAAGGTATGTAAACAATTTTAACAAGGTTTTCAACAAAAAAAGTTCAAAAATCATTTTAAAAGTGATTTTCTAAAAATATTTTTTTAAACATTTACTTATACATATTTGTGGGATACAGTGTGTTGTTCCAGTACATGCGTATACTGCACATTGATTCACTTAACCTGTATCTATAGGAGAGATGTAAACCATTTCTCCCTTCTTTTGGTGTATGGGCCCCCTAAGCACTGGTGTGCTCTAACAGGTTGTTTATGAAAGGAGTCTTAGCCGTCCACGCGCCTGCAGAGGCTGCAACTGTCCACGGAAGCCAAGTCTGCCCATCTCGGTGGTATGACTAAGTTTCAAACTTACCCTCAGATTAAGTTTATCTTTAATTTATTCATCAATTTCTTTACCTTCCTTTCCCAATGACCTAATTTAAAACTCTCATTGGAAAATAAAACTTGTCCTGTGAGGATCAGATGAAAACTGCTTTGACTTTAATCACATTATTACCATTTGCAACCCCTATTGCCTGAAAAATATGTGCTGGGATTTTTTATTACCTTTTATTTCCTGGTATTCTTTTTATTGTTATACAATATCTGATATTGTACAATAGCTAGTTTCAATTAAGATAAAAGGAGAATTTCTATCTCATTTGCTTTTATAACTATTAATGATGTCCAATATGTGAATATATATTTCTACCATTCTATATCAAGATATAGAACTCTATATCAAGTTCTATACCAAAATATAGAATTCTACAGAGATTGGTCCAGCTATTCATAGTGACTGAACTAGGAGGGTACTTCAAAAAATTTGTGGAAAAATAGAATTAAAACATAATACGAATTCTTCCATGAAGTTTTTGAAGTACTCTCATATATTAATAGAAATTTGATAAGAGCCCTATAAGTTTGGAGGTCTTATGGATGAGTTTATGGATGAGTCAGATTTGAAATTTAATTAAGGTGAGGGCAAAGTTACTACATGGCATGCTGTGAATATATAATTGAAACTGGATTTCACAGCCCTCGGTCCATTCCTGTGCATGACTCACTAGTCTCACGTTGAATTAATAGATTTTTTTCCATTTCTTCCATTTTTAGATTTTTATGCTGTAGTTCACCCTGTCTAGGATAAAGTCAATTTTTTTTTACAAAAATGGGTCTGTTTTGCAAATAATTGAAACCAAAACATCATGTTTTTTCAGTTATCTAGACATTGCTTTGCTAGGCCAAATTCAGCATCTAAAGTCTATGCTTTCATTATTATACTTATGTTGACCAAAATAAATGTTCAAACACTTCAGTTATTGACTTGACTTTTTTTTTTTCCTTCTTCCTTTTTATTTTTTTAACTTCTACTGAGCTATCAAATCTACCAAGGTGATATTGCTGACATTATTTGTTCTTGTAATATGAGTCTCATCATAGTTCCCTATAAATTATGTATTATATATATAACTAAAATTATTTTAAGTTGATTTCTCAAAAGCTATATGTATTTATGATAAAAATTATGTATGTATGTATTAGACAAAAGCTTTATAAACTGTTTAACACATTTTTATGTATCTAGTTTTTTACAAAAGCTGAACTCTTTCCATGTTTACAAGGTAGTCTGGGATTCCTAACAAAATAAACAAGAGCCTTTCTGAATAAATGTGTCCATATGCCAGCGTGGTTTAGGTCTGATTCAAGACACAAATCACTATCTCTGAAAAAATGAAGACACATTCATTAAATGACCAGGAGAAATTCCATAGCATGTAGAATAGGAATAATAATACATAACATTCTAGTTTATTTTCCACTTTTAAAAACGAGTCCAAGGAAGTTAAAATATTCTTTTAATTAAGATGCTCAAAGAAATTAAATAAGAAAAATTGATGCAAGGACTCCTTCAAGTTAGGGTTTGCGATACCAATGTTTTCATCTTTTAACAGGGTGAGCTGATGTGTTCACATCTCAGTTCCACGCTGCCTCTTTCATTAGGAACCATCAGTACTTTTTAAAAAGCATATTGACAATGCTTTCCCATCACCCTGGCTGTGTTTTTGTAGCACCTATAGCCATAACTGGCACCTGGGGCCTTGCATTGCTGGCAGTTTCCCTTGCATTTTTTTGGAGTCTATTCAACTGCTGTGGTTTTACTTAGAAGTCAGTGCTTTGCATATATGATTTCCTGAGACGGTTTGAATAGTCTTTCTCAGAATACTGTGCCAGTCTGGCTGTGAACAACTCTTCTCCAAGGGGAGCTGATAGTAGACTGGTCGGGTTGGTTTGCTTGGACTTGGGTTCCCAGCCTTGCCCTACTATCTTCTCTCCCTGTTCTCTCTTCTTGTCTCTGCCCTACTGACATCACTGCCTACATCTTGCCATCCCTTGAAAGCAGAGAACAAGATTTGGACTGGTCCAATTAGGAAAAATTAAAATGCTGCCCAGGGAACCTATGCAAAAGTCCCATAAAAACAGTTCATATTTGTTATTTCAGCAGCTGATGTGGAAAATATTTTAAATGAAAGACAAAACCAGAGTGAATAATCCAAACTTCTGTAAGGTAATAATCTATTATGAAGACAGAAGTCTCTACTTATGATTATAGATATAAAATTGGGGGACAAAGTTAACCTTAAATTTCTTGATTTGAGGGCATTTTTAAAAGATCATCATCTTGACAGTGCAGTTTTGAGATAATGAGAACAAAAATTACTTTTAATAAGTTTTAGATGGCATTCTATTTTGAGGTGCTATGGTAAAGATAAGCATTGTTTTATGAAGTGGGTCATGTGCGTATATAAGTGTTGGTGTGCTGTGCTGCTTGCGATCCCATGGTCTTCATCTGTATACCACTAGAGAGAGAGAGAAAAACGTCAGGATTAGGAAGTCAGCTATATTCTTAAAAAAAAAAAAAATGAAATGAGTTCTCATGTGCATACATGTATGTTTTAATTCCCGAAACAGTTTATAAACAAAAATGTGATCAAAGAGGGTGTCTAATTTTCCCCCAAACCTTTTCTGGGGCATATTGTTTTGTCCTGCAGAGGCCTCTGATTCTCTTTTGCAGGTGCTGAGAAAACTCGCTGTGAATTTAGCTTACTGCATAGTGCTTTAAGGAATGTTAATTCTTTTTTATTGAAACATAATTGATTTTACGTATTTGTGGCATACAGAGTTGACTATCAGTATTTGTGTACAACACGTGGGATCAAAACAGGATTATTAGCATATTCATCATTACAAAATGTAATTGTTCTTTGTGTCCATTACCAATTTAAAACACTCAAATCCAACTTCAGATTTGACTCAAAGTCCATTTAGAACCACACCACAGGTAGGAAGGAATATTTATCCAATTAAGCCCTCCCACTTGTTTTAATTGTTATCAAGTGTCAAATTTCTCTACAGTTTAGTAAAACAATCAAAATAAATGAATTAAAAAAAATTTTTTTTCTTAATATATATCACTAAGGAACTGGAAAAATCTATTTCAATATTACATATATATGTTTAAGATAAGTGAAGTCAAAAGTCAAATATATTATTTGCAAACACTTAGGTTTTACACTGGCATTTTTTTTTTTTTTAACCTGTGTATCTGACAATTCTGTAGAAGGAGTTTCTGACCTGAGGGAAAATTGATCAACTCGTACCTTATTAAATAATTGGGAAGCCATCATTAGGCAAACATATATTATCAAGACATAGTAGACTTTTAAAAATTGTCTTCTCTTTGAATAGTGGAAAAATCAACCTCAGCGTCTTATAAGAATGTGACCCAAAAGAAATGCCAGTTTTCTCAGTATCAAATAACTGTCCTGTTCCTCTAGAGTGGGTACCACTTGAACTGAGCACAGAGCAAATCACATATGTTAAAGAAGGGGGAAAAACAGGTTTTTCTAGCTAAAACAGATAAGAAAACTGCATTTTATACAAAAATATTTAGTGCAACACACGTATACAAATACATACACACATATGTATGTGTATGTATGTATATTTTTTCTTAATCTAAAAATTTCTACTGCAGAAAAAGAATTTGACTTAATACCCTGAAACATTCTCTATACAGGCAATAACAACTCCAGCCATTTCTGATTTTACAAAACAAGCACAATTGTTTATTGCCTGTTTTTCAACAAAAGATAACAGCAATTGCGAAAACTGAAGCATGCTGATTATTAATATCCCACTGTTGTTAGAATGGTTAGTAATACATACTAGACAGAAACGGAATTTTATATTTGAGCTGAGCTATTATCATGCTGGTTTCACTTTAGAATTACTCTGCCACACATTTACTGAATAAGTGATTACTTTTGAATCAAAATAGGAGACACTGGACAATCACGTAAATAGGGGAGCAGTTTTGACACTCCCAAGATATGCAAAATTGAGCTTTTCAACCCCAAACTCTCCAATATTATAGAACTATTGCTCTGTGTGTGGTTCAAATACATCACTCTTCTGACTTCACATTGGAAAAATAAAAGTGCTTTTTATTCTGTCCCTGAACGCTGGGACTTCTATGAGGAGAAGTAGCCTGAGAAAGGAAACTAGACCCCGCCAGTAACTTCCCTCCCCTTGCACAAAGTTTTGCTATACCATTGCCTGGAAATCCACTCCAGCATCCACCAAGGCTTTGGAGATCTGAGCTGACTGCTGAAAGTGAACGTTATCTGCAGGGAGAGAAAGAAAACATAAAGTAGTTAATAGTTGATCCAGTTTTCTAAAACCAAAGGGTGGATAAGGCACAAGAAGAAAGGGACTGTTTGAAGTTCTGGGACTCAGCATCGCATTTAGCCCAAGACAAGTGAGTTGTGGAAAGCAACACTGTTTTATTGAAGTAAATGTAACAGTCTTGCCCCTCATGCTTTTGTTTTGTCAGTAGTGAAATTGCAAACCTGTCTGTGATACTAAAAAGTCTAATTAACTGAAACTCACCATCTGCTGTTCCATGAATAAGGAGGTACTCAACTTGTTTAAAATTTTCAGCTCTGCTCATGACTGTTGAATTCTGGAATTGGGAAAAAGAATGTCATTATTCAAAAAAGGATCTGCCATAAACTGATTTTTCACTTCAGTTTACAAAATAAAATGTTTTCAGCTGGGGCCCCCTTTGATACAAAATATAGCAAACCGATATTCAAGCAAATGCTGTCTCCATGCATGGCAGAATGCACAGCATGCCCTGTGCCTGGGAGACAGGACTGGAAGGAGAGGATGCCACATCTTCTCTGCACATGCAGGAAGAGGGCACCTGCCACCCAGGCTGCGTGCAAAACCCCTTGAGTCCCAGATCCCAGATTGGCTGTGTCCTATGCATTAGCACAGGGCAGAGTCTCATATTAGCAATGTATGTTCCATGGGCTTCTGCTGTAGTTCAGCCAAAAAGTGTATTACCATGGCAACCATGTGTCACATGGTGCCATACATGCTACATTTCAAAGAGCCTGTACATAGCATTTGCAACTAAACATACTCTGCAATATGTCATGTGAACTTTGGTCCACATTGCTAGGCTCTGAATGAAAAGCACATATTACCTCTTTGGGAACAGATGTTTAAAACTTAGGAAAATGTAACATATGGGAGGGGAAAGGGGTAAAAAAGACCAAGAATGGCCTTAGAAAATCAGTGGGTTGTTGTTGTCTGCCTCATTCTGTATAACAGAAAATGCTGCTTTTGGATCAAGTCATTCCAAAATCAGCCAGGGAAATAGGATAAAAAACCTAGAGGTCAGCTTTTTGAGTCTGTTTTGTGGCCTGAGTCAGGTAGGGCTTCTAGAATGAGGGTCAGCGGTCTTGGATGAAAAATTCATTGAAAGCATAGAACTGGTCATCTGATTTTAATTTGTGGATATTTACAAAGTTGAGATGAAGGTAAAAATGCCACACAGACATGGTAGTGCCTTTGGGAGGGGGTAAGCTAGAGTCTGCTATGGGTTCGGTAGGGGAAGTGGTAGTGGCCTCTTCGTGGGTTTAAAAGCAGCCAGCTGGTCCTGCAGCACCTTGGTGAACCAAAGCCATAGTTATGAGAGCCAAGGTTTATATTCTACAGTTATCTTTGTAGCTAATATCACCTTAATATTTTTGATGGGACTCCTGTTGGTCTGGCAGGAAGAGGATGGGAATGAGGTAAGGATGTTTGTATTTTAGTCCCAGCTTCAGTGTCAGTGAGCTGTGCAACTGGACACATGCTTGATTTCTGTAAAATGGGAATAAGAATAACAGCTCTTATTCCCTCACAGAAATAGCAATCAAGAGACATGGCAGAAGCATTTTTGGGGGTGAGGAGTTAAACCGCTGACATTCATGTGAGAATTTTGTGACAGTGTTTCTGGAAAAATGACATTCTGTCTTCAATTTGCAGGACAGAGTCACCCAAAATGTTTCAGGTGACTTAGACTCCCAAGGTCACGCTGACCTGGTAAGCTTAGAGCAAATGCCCTCCCCCTGCTGTGCAAGCTGGTTCCCACTTGTCCTGACCATATTCCATTTCTGACCCAAACTGAGAATTTACTTGTGAACTTTCAGAATAAACACCTAGGACTCATTAAAAGTCACACTTTTACTTTATTTTTGAGAAACTTTTATCTAGTGAGATGTTCCAGATTTCCATCCATGTATGATTCTATCCATTTGTTTTTTCATCCAGTCCATCAATACTTATTTATTTTGTACCCCACTAAGCAATAAGATCCATGAGAAAAGGGATTTGTCTATATTGTTCATTACTCTATTCTTAGCATCTGTTACATTACTAAATATTTATCAATTAAATGAGTAAATGAAAGAAATTATTAAGCACTTTTATTGTCTACCTAGTTTTGCAGAGGCACGTGGGAACAGCTGGGGTAGGCAGAATAAAAATACTCTCATTCTGAAATTTACTGAGATATGTTTACTGAAATATGTTTTGCCCACTTTCAACCCATACACCATGCCGTTAGTAATAATAGCTAACATTCACTGAATGTTTACTCTGCCTGTCACTGCTAAACATCACAAAGGATTTATAAAAGCACTGTTATATCTAACCCTCACAACACTTATGTAAAATAAGTCTATACCAATTCTGTTTTTTAGATGGGAACACTGAGTTTCAGAAGGTAAGTAATCTGCACCACGTTACATCTGTAGGAAGTATCTGAGCTGGACAACGTCTGGCAGCAACACCCCTTTCACTTCCTATGTTGCACTGCATCTCTACTAAAATTATGAGTTTTTCCAGCAAAGAAACAGTGTGAAATAAGATGTTAATTAACTGTCCTGGAATTTGAAGTGCACAATAATAGTGGGTACTCTTTTGTACTCTCCTGAGACCCCATGTGTTCTCAGACTGAAATAGTCAGAAGAGAGATTACTCGCACAGCCCTGTGAGATTTGGGAGGCATACTTTCTGACAGTGCGGGTGACGTATAGCCTACCACAGCAATAGAACTGAGCAATTTTCTGCTCTTCAGAGAGGAAAGAGTCAACATAAATCTCCCTAAAAGAGACTGCCATGCAGCGTTCAAAGCTGAAGACAGGAGAGGCTGAGGCTTAGATACCGACAGTGAAATTAATATTGACTTGCAGGCCCAGGTGACCCTGTTAGAGTCCTCTTTAGTGATCCTTTCTGCTAGCCATGCTCTCAGCCTGTGCTGACTTCCTCCCACCTTCTTTCTCCCCAAATTAAATCTAGCTCTTTGCTTGTGGAAGACAGTCAACTTTAACACCCAGACCTGACCCAAATATACAACTGTGTGACCTCACTTCACCTCCAAAAGCCTCATGGGCCTGCCTTGCTTGGCAGCTTGAACAGCAAAAGCTGCTCCTACAACCTCCCTGAGCCATGAAACAGAAATGTCATTGAAACATAGAGTAATAGTTAGGAGACATATAAATACACAGGACAGTTAGCAAGGAATGTGATAACTACTGGAGTTTGGACCAAAACAGTTTCTGGCTGCCTTTTTTTTTTTCTTAAATGGAGTGAATACAGGCTGAAAGAAGACAATTTTTATAAACAAGTAAAACCCTGAGCCTAAGATAAATGTTGTGATGTACACACTGTAGCTGTGATGAACTAGACATGGTGAGAAATGCAACATACTGAGAAAAAGACGAAAACTGTGATAAAAGTGTCATGATGCAAATTGTTTTACATTAACAATATTACACTACAAAGAAAGGAAGACAAATACTTTAATGCAGCAAGAGAAAAATAAAACAAAAGCTTCTCCTGCAACTGCAAGATGAGTGTGCCATTGCAAATGCACACTTCCCCTGCTCACCGGGAGAAGTCTCCAGAGGGACCTCTCTGTGACAGGGAGACGTCTAGGCAGTAGGGAGGCACACACCCACTTTAACGCTCTCAGGCTGCAGAGAACATTATTTCCCCCCCAGAAAAATGCGGCTGTGTCACCTTGCCTCTGGAACCACCAATCGTTCCCTACTAGACTGTGCAACCTGGCTTCTCAGTTAATACTCTTTACAGTCCACTGAATGCACATGTTAAGCTGTAAAGGTAACACACAAAGCTAGTCAAAGAAATGCATGCATTAATTTAAGGTACAATTAATGATCAAAAAAAATTTTTTGAATTGTGCTATCTTAACCCAACAACATAGGATAATCCCCCTTTGCCTATCCATGGAAACGGAATAAAAAAGGAAATGGATGACTAAGTTAGAAGCCGAATAGTCTATCACCAACTACTAAAAAGGAAGCTCAGAGTGATAAATGGGCAAGGATGCAATGGTGGTGCAGTTGGCATTCTTCTGAGGCTAGACACTTCCGGAGAGCCTCGCTGCCAGCAACAGTCTGGCAAGGAGAAGTGGGAAGGATTGGTCCAGTGGCACTGCCGATTCCACAGCATCTCTGTGAGGAGCTTTTCCCTCAATTCCCAAGAAGAACCATCTGTAGCTGCTCTTTGGATCATGCTGGTTCTTCAGTTACCTTCCAACAAATAAATCTTTGTATTTTTGAGATAAAAGAGAGAGCTGATAAGAGTAGGGAAGTACTATGAGAAACAGAAGGTCTAACAATTTTTAAGCTACTCTTTTGCCATCTAGGAAACATAAGGACAATTTACTTCCTGAAGATAATCATGGTGGCAGCTGCCATGTTTTGAAAGCTTACTTCATGGCAGACACAGGTGTCTCATTTAATCATTTCAATAACCCTGTGAGGTAGGTCTATTATCCCCATTATCCAGATGAGGAAACTGAGGTTCAGAGAGGTTAAGTAACCTCCTCAAGTTCATACTACTAGTAAGTGGTAAAAATAGAATTCAAGTACAAGGCTGTCTAACTCCATAGCCCATGTCCCTTACCATCATGTTCTGTTGTCACTTTACATCACAGCCAAATGACTCGTCACTGTTTCCAGGCTCTTAGAGAAAGAACGAGCAGTCACTGGGTCTAATGGACAACAACCCAGCACTTCAGTAAGATATTATCTTGGGTTTACTGGTTTGCTCTATGAATTCTACTTGCAGCCAAAACTGCATAAATAATATTAAATGATGCCATTTTGGGAAGCATCATTAATGCCACAACGGAGGCCACAGAAAATGTTGGAGAAAACATAAACTCAATCCACTGTATCAGATGTTTTACTTGTTTACAACTATCAAACAACTGTACCCGTGAGAAGCCAGGGAAAGCGCTCCCGTCAACACCAGACAGGGGGCTCTACCTCAGGCCTCAGCAAGCAACACTGGCTCCTTTAAAGATCACACAGCAGTCAACATTTTATCAGCACTCAACAAACAAGTTAAGGTTTGGCTTAAATCTGAAGGTCTCTCTCCCTTTGGCATATTCTGGGATAATAGAACAAATGTCAAATCAGTACAAGATGGCATATTTACAAAATTGCACCCTGTTTTGCATAACCTAACGATGCAGCAGTTCTTAAGGATTGAACATTTCAAATCTGCTAGCAGAAGACTGCCAAATCTATGACTGTTTCATACACTTGCCAAAAGCCTATCAAATTTTGAGCAAAATGCAAAATAAATCTCCTCTACAAG